TATTGTAATAAAAATATGGATGGCATAGAAAAATCTAAAATATTTTAAAACAATGCCCAGTATACAGTTGGTTTTCTGCAGACAATTAAGGTCTCAGTGAGTAGTGACTACATGAATTGTAAAGGACTTAGGTAGAGAATGCAGGGGAGGAAGGAGTTAAAGGAGGAAGGTTAGTTAATTAATCACTTGCTATATTCTAAGCCCTGGACTGGGTTCTTTCCATATATTAGTTTAAGTAACCAGTTTCATACTTTAAACGTCTGTTCAGAGAAATAAAAGGGAAATCGGCTTGGAGTAGTTACATCCAAAAAATTATTTTGAGATGGTCATTGGAATTTCACATGCAAATACATGCATATATCAGTTTAGATTTTAGATGTGAGAAGTAATACTAGAGGAAAGCTTATAAACAACAAAGTACAGAGAGGTTCATTGGTGTACTCAAAATTACAGTTTGTTAAACCAATAATCCAGCCTAGCATTATTCATATATCCGAATATCGGGCTATCATTTTTGTTCTGTTAACTGCTCCACATAATGCTTATGAATATGGATGCATTCAATATGAATTACTAAGAGGGAGAGCACTTTAGATAGTAGTAGAGTTTATCCATTTGCAAAATGCTACAAAATCTCTAGATGAGAGATATCCAGAAAAAAAAATACCACCTTAATTGACGATGTTTGCAATACAGAGTGCAGTTAGGGAGAAAATAAACTATTTTCTCTCCATGCACAGTCTGGTAATAAATATGGGCCTCACAGTGCTTGCACTTTATGTTCGCCTTAAATACTAATTGCCTTTCCTATTAAAAAACAGTTGTTATGTTAACATTTGAATAGAGTGTTTACATGTTTCAAATCCTTTATAATCTTTCTGAAATGTTACTTCTTTTGGGTTCTTAGAATCTAGTAAGACTGGCAGGACATAAAATGCCTTCCTTTGCATCCAGGCAGCAAACTGACCAATGAAATAGTGTAAAATAGCATCTCTAACTGATAACAATAAGCTGGAACTGCTATCACATTTTTAAAAATATTGTGCATGAATGCAATGTTTTTTATTCATTCAACAATATTTGCTGAGATCCTCCTCTGAGTTAGGTGCTATGCTTATCTTTTAGATCCTGAAGTTTGTTATATTTAGCAACTTGATTATAATTAATTTGTTAAAGAAGTTCTAAATGAGATCAGTGTTCAAAGGAATTCAAAGACATACTTAAGCACAAAATTGTAATGTAAGGATCTAAACCTTGTTTTAATACTATTAATTCATACAAAGAAATTTTCTAGGTGGTTACCTTAAGACTCATGGAATTTAGTTTGAAAACAGGCCAGCAAAAAGATTTCAATAATACTGTTTTCTATTCTTTTCATATTTAACCTCCAGTTGGAGGTGAAACTTTAAAGGCTCAGCAAATAATTCTTAAAAGTTTACACATTTACACCTCAAATACTCTGAGCTTTCTAAGCCCTCACAACAGAAAACATTTCTGGGCATTCTAGGACTATCAGGACCTCTTCAGTAAATATAAAAATTTTAAACTGTTATTGATTTCCCACTAAGGTAGTTTTTACCAGTTTCTGCTTCATATTTTTTAATTTATGGCTGTCATAAAATATGATTGTCATTTTTTTCTCCAGAGTTTAATACTGCTGGATATAAAGAATTCAGTATATATTCTTACTAATAAGGCTTATAAAAATTAACATATGTTCTTACTAGTAAAGCCTACAATGATTGATATTTAAATAATCAGAACACTGAAGGTAATCAATTTTTGATATTTTGAAATAAAACTTTTTAAATGGTCAATTCTATTTTTCTAGCCACAATTTATCTCCTGGAATAATTGGTATTATAATCATCAGCTGCAAGCCAATTTTGTCAAATCAATATCATAATCAATATCATTCACCATGAAATATCCTTAAAAAGACTTTAGCAGTCCACAGGATTTATTGAAAGAGGGGCTGAGAATCATACTCTATCTTGAGAGTTGCATTTCACTTAAATGTAGTGAAAGCCCATTTTCTTCTACTGAAGCTCAATTCCTAAAATTTTTAAACCAGAAAGAATGCTAACAAGTTCAATGCTGTATTTACATATACTTTTTCAAGAGTCAAAGTGCTTCCGTGTAGAGTGTATCATTCTATAGACCCTAATAATACCATCTAGGCATTCACATTTTCTAGGAATTGAGACATACCTCCAAGATAAAATGAAAATACTCTGAAAAAGAACATAGGATTAAGACATACAGGCCCTTGGATTTTAATCTTGGCTATGTCACTAGCTCTAGGGTGTGTGAGTGTGAGTGTGTGTGTGTGTGTGTGTGTGCATGTCTTCAATAACTAGAATAAAGAGATTGATTTGTAAACATTGCTATAATTCCTTCTAGCTCTAAAACTCACAGACCAATGGATCCAGAACTGAAGGGTCCAATTGTCTCATTTATTTTGGCACTTCCAATTCAGAAAACTTATTCTGGGACTTGGTAATGAGTTTTCAATATATAGATGTTCCAGTTAATCACTTAGTATCATTGCCTTGGCTTAGGTCATATTATCAGCATGTGATTATAGCCACAGTCTACGGATGAGTCCAAATCCATAGTTGACAACAGAGGCAATGCTCTCAGGTTTCTAGTTTATTAATCTCACGAGCATCCACCACAGCAAAGGTGGCTTGTCATGACTTTTCAGCTTTTGAAGAAAGCAGGTGTTTTCTAAACTTGTTTGTAATAAACCCCCTTTCTGTCCCTATACTTTTCATAGGTCAAATAGATAACAAAGTAAATGTAAATGAATGAATATGATGGTTTTAACATGACAAAATAATGTGTGTGGTGACCATTCCTTATTTAGGAGGGCATCCAAACAGACACACTATTTCTTGAGTCAGTGTGGTGAGAAGAGATAAGATGGAGGGAATTTACACTGGGTCAAATGAATAAACAAAATTTTGGCAAATTTGCTTTCTTATTTTCATTAAATTAGCAATGACTCACATAAACTCCATTGAGAATAAGATATGAATAAACAGACTCAATGGAAGGTTTTCTGGATCTCTCCACTTAATTGTAAGCTACTTCAAGGCAGTCATAGTTTCTTGTTCATCTTTGTCCCTGCTGAGGGCATTGCCTGACACAACATGCCTATTCAACCATGGGTAAAGAAATTATTCTGAGGATCGAACAATCCTCCATCCAATACAGGAACCTTCCTTTGTTCAGATTCTTCTAGTGCTCTAGAAAGCTCATTCCCTCACGGTGGTCCTATTAGAAACAGCTGGGACCTCCTTCTTAGTGAATTGAAATGCACCCCTCTCTAAATTGATGTAGAAGATTGTGGATTTGAGTTCTGCTGATGTGACATGTAATAGGACTATTAGAATAAGTGGCAGATAGAGTCAAATAGACCTCATCGGAACATTTTAATTCTTTTTGAGAATTTTTACCCTGAATGGAATAAAGTCATTACAGGTTCATTTCTTAAAGAATCCTTAGCATCCTGCCTTGGCCGGTTTGGCTCAGTGGTTGGAGTGGCAGCCTGCAGACTAGAGAGTCCAGGGTTCAGTTCCCGCTAGGGGCACGTACCAAAAAAATAAATAAAAAATCCTTAGCATCCCATCTATTCTCACCTGCTGTTCTATGCTTATATCCAGCACTTAACCTTAGGGAGGAGAAATGCTGTACAGTAACTAAGTTCACAGGTGATTTCCCCAAAAGCTTGATATAATGACGAATTTAGTTTGGCTCTGTAAAGTCCTTAGGGCCATGGTTATATGTGCTATAATATAAATAATTACTAATGAGGAATTGAAAACTTCATCTCTAGTGAGTACCTCTATGCTAGAACTGTCACTTCATTGAAACAAACAAAAATTTTTCCATGGTGTTCTATGCCATTTATTATTCATTCATTCAACAAATACTCATTGAGATCTTATAAATCCTCATTTTATTACATCTTATATTTAACTCCTTGGTGATCATCTTATTTAGGTTCTTTTAAATGATAGTGCACATTTTTCAAATGTTATGTTTATTTATTTGTCTATATGGTAGAATAAAACTTTTAAATAATGGGGCTGGAGAAAACATTTTGAGTTGATATGTTATTAAAAAGTGTATGTCTATGTGCCATTTATAAATGTGATTTAATCTATACATATCTTTTTGTTATATGAGAAAATTATTTTTATAATAATGTATAATCAGGATCAAAAAAAGCACTGCCTCAGATTTTTGTGTTATTAGGATTATTTCCTAGATACTAAAAATCCCAACAAATTAGATATTTAAAAATACTTGAGTCATTTAACTTAAGATCATGAGAACAGAGGCTGCAGCTGCAGGTCAGCTTAATAAAAATAAATGGGAAGTCTAAGAGTTTCCTGACTAGAACAGTTCTGCTTCACTATCTTTCGTATTCACAATGTAGATACTTCTGCCTTCACAAACGTGGTAAAAAGGTAAGAAATAGATCAAATAGAGACAGTTGCACAGTTTGTTCAACTTCGAAGTCAAAGAGGTTAGAATTCAATTACAAATACTTCTCATTTGTATTTTGCAGACTTGGAACCAGAGATTATAACCTTTATAATAGTTCATGTGAAAATAGTTCATGTTTTAAGATGTGCACCTTCATTTCCCAAATAGATTAAACAGATGATCAATGTACAAACGGTAATTGTATCACAAACTTACAGTACAGACAACTACAAAACTATGAAAAAGACAATGTTTACAAATGACAGTGAAGAATAAATTATTTTTCAGTGCACATAATTAGGTATATACAGGATAATTTAAAACCAAATGGAGTGATTGCTAATGCTGAGCTCTTAAAAATCTTCATCAAAATATACATTACCCGAGAGAGTGATCAAAATGAATTGTGAGAGAAAAGCAGAATGTTGTCTCTCTTTTCATCCTCCAAACTTGAATGATATTTCATCAAAATAATTTGCCAGTTGTGCAAATGTTGGAAAACTCTAATTCCAAAACCACTTCTCTAAATTACCAACGGATTTATATTCCTGATGCCTTTTTACGTGATCACAAGCCAAGCATGCATGTGACTCCCAAAATCGTGGAAGATTTACTGTGAAATCTTTCCTCCAGTTAAAGTAGCTAAGGTATAACTTATTGTTCTTGTCGACTTCCTTCAGATACTTCGCTAGCTCACTTGGAGAGTTATAATCTTCCACATGAATGAATGAATCTGCTGGGATATAATTTTCATAGTTTTCCCTAGATGGTCCCAGAACAACAGGCACAGAGCCAGCCAGGAAAGCATTGTAGAGCTTTTCTGTGATGTAATCTTTGTGGATTGAGTTTTCGAAGGAAAGGTAAAATTTGCAAGTAGATATGGTAGGGATCAAATTTTTATCATTCACGTACTCTCCAAATGCTTGCCCATAGGTATGGATTTCAATACTTTTGCTTAGCTCATTGTAATACTTGACCCTGGCGTGCTCAGGGTTCCAGTTACTCACAACCCAGCACACTAACTTCTCTTTGCTTGGCACTTCAAACACGAAGGGGTTTGTGCTCACCGTCAAGAAGCCATAAGGCACTTGGATATCTGAGTCACGGCGATAAGTCAGGGTGAGATTGAATAGGTGCTCAATGCCACTCTTTTGGGGGGTGTGAGTTGGTGATTCCAAATTCATCCAAATCCATTTCTGGAACGGTGGCCTCGCCTGCTGAGGTAAATTAGTCAGATCCCAACTGATGTCTCGGTGATGGATCAGAACGGCGTGAGATTTGTTGTAAAGCGCCCGGTCTGTTGTGAGGTGGCATCCTTGGATGTTGAACATGGCTTGGCAGGAGGTGAGGTCAAAGGTCTGCCCAAATGGCCACACCCAAATCAGAATGGTAGTTGTATTAAAATAATCTGTTTTGGTGGTGAAGAAATTTTTCATCTTCAGCACAGAGCTGGTTGACTCCATGGGACTGAAGATCCAGCTGTTTGTGGGCTTGATGTAAATGAGGAGACAGGCCATAAAGCAGCCCAGGACAATGCAGACAACTAAAAATGGACGAAGAATTCCTTTGGATGCTGATGTCATAATTTTTTCTATGAAACAGAGAGAGAGAGAGAGAGAGAGATAAAGGGATAGGTAAGGGTAGGGATGAAGGATTAATCATAAATACAATTTGAGATAAACAGGTTGTAATCCTAAAATACACCCACTCATAAAATCAATGAATTTTCCTTTTTAGTGTTACCAGACCTCTGAGAGAAATACAGCTTTAATTTTAGCCAAGGAAACTGCTTTTAAAAGAAAGTTTGCCCTAAGTGCTACAAATGAGTCAGAATTTGTTATATGTGTACCGTCTATGTTACAGCTTGTTTCTCTTCAATGCCATCCTTACCTGTTATAATTTTATTTGCTTGGTGAAAATGGCACAACAGGCTGTCATCAGCAAAGCTTTGATAAAAGTTTTAGTATTTTGAAACTACACCACACTTGTGAACATTTCCCAGTTGATAATCACTTATTTGCTGGGGTACTTTTTGAGATTGCAATATAACTTAGTAGTTCAGATGAAATTCACTTAGAAGACCAACTTCTAAGAAGAAAAAAGTTATGTTTCTTTTTTTTTTTTTTGCTGTAAGTTTATATTCACTGTTAAAATGCAAAAAGAGCCCTGGCCGGTTTTGCTCAGAGGTTAGAGTGTCGGCCTGTGGTCCAGAGAGACCTGGGTTTGGTTCCCACTAAGGGCACGTACCTCAGTTGCAATTTGTCCCCGGCCCTGGCTGGGTTGTGCGGGTGGCAACCACTCGCTGTGTCCCTTTCACATCGATTTTTCTCTCTCTCTGTCACTCCCACTCTATCTGAACAAAAAAATGAAAAATGTCCTTGGGTGAAGATAAAAAACAAAAATAAAACAACATGCTTAAAAAAAATGCAAAAAGATAGTCATCCTGTAGAAAACAGCAACTCTTGACATTTGTTTTTGTTTGTTTTGATTTTTTTTAGTAAGTGCACTAATGCAAAAACTGGATAAATTTAAACCACTCATTGTTTAATTTAAGACATTTTTTCTTACCATTTTTTGTTACCTTTAATAATTTTGTACCATACCCAATATCTCTTAGGATGTGATAATCAAATGCCCTATTGACATTAGAACAACATTCTCACTTATGTAATATTGGACCTTTAAAAATAGTTTTTCTTAGCATTAAAATAATATTAGTATTATAAAAAAATAATAAATTCTCAAAAGAAAATAATTAAATTTTATGGAGAACATTACTGGTTTTATGAATTTTAGCAGATTGCAGCTAAAAAGATGAGACAAGTCTTTTTACTTTTTTAACTAGCACACAGAGCTCTATTTCCTCTCTTTATTTTGTTTTTTCCTTCACGATTTAGCCCCTCTATGCCCTCTTCCACCTCCACTCCCTCCAATCACCACATTGTTGTCCAAGTCCATGAGTTCTCTCTCTCTCTCTCTTTTTTTTTTGTTCAACCCCACCTCCATCCCCAACCCCACCCCAACCAACAACACCATCCCTTCTCCACCAGAACTGTCAGGTGGCTCTCTATCTATGGGTCTGTCTCTATTTTTCTTGGTAGTTCAGTTTGTTTATATAAGGCTTTTTAATTTTTGTAACAGGACTATTGTCAAGGTTTTTCCATATGCCTCCTTATGAATATGAACACAAAGATAAAATATGTAATATGTTTGCAAAACTGTCTCAATCAAATTCTTGCAAATCCTCTGAAATTCTTTGTTCTCAACAAAATAATGCGGCTTTCAATTCCAAGTTTATTAAACTACTTTAAAGTCTTGATCAAAATTGGTGTAGAAACATTAGATGTCTTCTTAAAGAAAAGGGGGAAACTGTTCTTTATTTAAATAGCTAAATTTATGTGAACATTTTAAAAAATCCTATTTTCCGTTACATAGTTTTTCTTAAAACCTATGATATTTTCTATGTAGTGAAGCTTGATTTTGTTTGTCCAAAGATTCGGGACATTGCATCCCGGCCACATTGCTGAAGATAATGACTGGAATCACAGACTGAGACCTACTGTCAGAAGGAGCTTCAGACCTGTGAGGTCAATAACAAAGGAAAACAAAAAAGTGCATATAGAATATGTCAGGAACTATTAATTAACCCTTGAACGACAGAGAAAGTCAGAGAAGAATGTAAAAGAGATCTCAGCTATTTAGAACTAAATGACATTGATGGGACTAGTTATATTTGACCCTGCTTTATGCATTGAACTAGTCTGAGAATATCTCAGATTTTTTTCCAGAACCTGGGATCTACAGACTGAGAAAATTTACTGGGAGGATCTCCTTTCTAATGGGGTAATACTAACCTTCAGTACACATGATTTGACCAAGCATTGCAGTGTTGTGTTTCTTCCTGGGACACCAATATTTAATGATTTTAGACGTGTTCTCTCACTGAAAGTTTCCTTCAGTCCTTTTGAATTGAAATGCAATGGCAGAAACTATCTAAATAGATTATGTCAATTTAATATAATCAGGTTACAACTTGAATAGGTGCCGTTTAACAAATGCCCACTCTTAGCTAGGCCTGTGCTAAGCACTTTGCACATATCATTTCCTTTACTTCTCCTAGAACCGTTATCAAGGAAATGTTTTAACACCTCTTATTCACAGATGAGGAAATTGAGGGCCAGAGATATTAGTCGCTAGTTTAACCACTAGGTGAGGCTCTCTCTTACCTTCTTCAACCTTCTTTAAACAAGTAATACAAACACCAGTAATCCACTGAGGTACATTTGGCCCTCAACTGTCATTGTCTTGATCTTCCTGGTGTGTACGCTTTTCTCTACAATATAGAACTATTTGCCCATGTGTTACATTTAGATGCATTTCCCTTAACAACAACAACAACAACAAAATACCCAACTGTTATATGGTCCTTATTAGTGCCAAACATTGATTTGACATACAGGTTTCCTAGCACTAGATGAACAAAATCTTCCAGTTTTGCCTCTCCATCATGTCTCAAAGTTGGCATCTATCTGGTACATTTTAGTCCCATGACCGTTTCCTTGGCCAAATGAGAAAGAATTGGCCACTAGGCAGCAACAATGTTCTACCCACTGTGTGCCTTTCAGTTTTCCTGCTTCCTGGACACTTTTTATTATTAGAGGTTCTTCTTGTTAACTCTCTGCACACCCTCTCTTCTCAACTTTGCACTGCTGTTCATGGTCAATTACTCAACGGTAAGGGCAGTTACTCAGTAACCTCTGCTTTGTGCAGAAACTGTCAACAATGTTTGCCTTTAGAAGCCAAATTGGCATCCCCTTGACAGGAAACTTTCACCTATTCCTCAAAATTCAGCTGGATACGCAACGTGTCTTGAACTGTTCATGATATAACCTATTTTTAAAGCATCTGCAGTCATGTCACTATAGACAGCAATAAATATGTAGCATAAAGCAAATTGTAACAGTAAGTCATATAATTAAACTTTTTCAATTACATTCAATAGTTTCAATTTCTGGGGAAAAATATAATTTAAAGATTAACAGAATCTGGCCCTGGAAAGTTTGGCTCAGGGGTTGGAGCACTGGTCCAAGGACTGAAAGGTTGTGGGTTCAATTCTGGTCAAGGGCACGTACCTGGGTTTCAGCCCGGTTTGGGGTCCTGCCAGTCAACATGTCTCTTTCACATCGATGTTTTTATTCTCTCTCTCTCCCTTCCTTCCACTCTAGCTAAAAAAATCAATGGAAAAGTATCCTTGGGTGAGGATTAACAACAACAACAACAACAACAAACAGAATCTGTGGTAAAAGTACTACTTGATAAGACTAGGTATGCATACAATTCTGTTTTAAGAGAAGGTCATCATCAAGAGATGACCTTCAGTCACACTTTAAGAATGCCCTACTGAGTGGTAAAGAGTGGAAGAAAGCTTGTCGTAGAAAAGGTTCAGCTTGTGCTTCTCAAGCCATAAACAGCCTTCAAGGTATTAGGGAGAGAAATGGGAAACCGAGAACAGGAGGCTTCTTCGAGAAATGGTAATTCTACTTGAAGGTTTTTTTAGTTGTGTGTGTGTGTGTGTTTTGAGTCCTTATTTAAAGTTAAAAAGGCAGGGTATACTATTGAACAGAATTCGATACTTGACTTAAAATGTAAGCTAGAACAGGAGAGTGAGCTTTGCAACTTGCCACCTAAGACTTTATTTATAGGTTGCAGGCACCACCTACCTCTTCAGCTCACCTGTCTGTCTCACGCCAGCAGGCCTGTGAGGTTGAAGGAGATTTTCCCTACACCCTGAGGAATTCTTGCATCAATATGCTTGACATCATTGTGTGGTACACACTCTCTATTTGTGATGTGGGTGCACAATCAAACTATTCCTGATAAGGTGAGACAGTTTATTCTTGGTATGAATCTGTAAAGGTCATAGAACATTTGAACAGAACTCTGGATCCATTTGGAGATCTTCTGATCAACTCAGACAAACCCCAAAGACCAGAAGTGAATCACTGTCAAATTGGTAGGTGGACTAAAGTTAGAACGAGTTTTAAAAAATTATCACATATAGTCACATTGTGAGTTTTTCCCTGTTAAACAAAATTAAATTTGTAAAATGCTTCTGATAGTGTCTGCACCACAGAATGCACTAGGTTAGTGTTTGGGATTATGTTATTGTTCCCTGTTGACTGGTCAAGAATCAGAGCTCTTATCATAGTTGAAGTTCTCTTGAAATAATATATCCCTTTTAATTTCTAAGCAAATTATTACCAGTTCTAACAACATACACACAAACTCTTCTACATTCAAAACATACCTCATTATTAATTAGCTCTGGATAAAATATATAATAAAAACTTCTGCTGAATATAAGAATCAGTGTTTTTCAGTTGTTCATGGAATCAGTCTTTTTATACAAGGTTACTCCATAAGTGCATCGTACTGAAAGGATTCCATAGCAGGTATTTGCTGATTTTTACTGCCTGACAATCACTCTCTCTTTTTCTGATAATAGCACCCCAGTTTCCTGTTTGAACACCACCTATCCCAATCTTTGGGACTGTAGAGAACACCACCTGCCCTTTTCCTACAGGTGCTGAG